CCTTAGGTGGGCAAGAATTTACAAAGAACTTAATATAGACAGGATGGGCCCAGAATAAGGCCCATTACAGAAAAGAAACATAAATAACAAGAAAGAATAAACAACCTATGGGCCATTCGGCCCATCTTCTCTACAAAAAGAACTAGAAGAAATCTTGCTGAGGGAAGAGATATGCTGGAGGCAAAAGTCAAGGCACCAATGGATTAAAGAGGGGGATGGCAATACTAAGTTTTTCCATGCACTTGCTAATGGAAGGAAGAATTTCGTAGAGAAATTAGAAGTGAATCGTGAGATTCTAGTTGATCAAGAAGAGACTGCCAAGTGATTTGTGGATCATTTTAAGGTAGTATTTAAAAGGCAAGATGATGCAAGGGTTACTATGGATGGATTGAATTGGTTGAGTTTGAACCCTAAGTTGGCAAGTGTTGGAAAAGGATTTTCAGTTGGAGGCTAGTTGGATTTAAGGGTGTTTGAAAACATGTTATTATTTGGTTGTAATTAATGGGGTGGTTAGAAATTTCTTTCCAACCACCAGAGGTTTGAGACAAGGAGGCCCCCTCTCTCAGTCTCTCCTTATTTATCTTGGTAGCTAAGGTTTTCAGTATCTTGAGAGCTGATAGTTTGGATCTCTTTAGAGGTTGGAGGGTAGGGACGGAGAGCACAATTTTGACACACTTGCAGTTTGTTGATGGTATAACCATTTACTTATCAAAACTATTTAAAAGCTATGGCCACATTTAACTTATAAGAATGTGTGTCTCTACAGAACTATTCCATATCTCCTTCAGCATCCATCCACAATAGTGTTGTTTAATGTGTGGTTGCACAGAATTCACCAACCAACCCATACAAATATAGTTTTCCTGTATCCCTTTCTCATAAGTAGGATTGTCCTCCTTAGGTTTCTTCTTACCACCTGTGAGATTCCCCACTCCCAAACCAAGTCTGGATTTTATTCCGTTCTTGAGTTCCGCTTCAGATTGTTCCTTTAACCCAAAAACTGCAATATGGAGTAGTTTGAAAACAAAAACAACCAACCAAACCTTCATTACTGACCTCCAAGTGAGAAACCAACAAGAGTACCACTAGTTCTAGGGTTTCAGACAACCTTGCAACCTGGGAGAATAGGTAAAACACCAGCTGCTCCATCCAAGAGTTCCAGAAACTTGTCCAAGTTGAATCGATCTCAAAAAGGCTTCAAGAGAAATTCCCCAATGCTTAAGTGCCACTCTAGGTCAAACCCCTTAATCTAAAATACTTCTCTAGTCAGATAGGGTTTGAGCTGAATCTCCAAGCACCAATCTTGGGGTTCAAAACTAATCAAAAAATTCTCCAAAAGCCTCCACAAATGAGGCCGCATCAAACACTTACAATCAGCAACTTAGTTCTCCATACACAATACCAACTGGAAGGTGTATGTGATTAAATGAGAGAAAAAGAAAACTTTGGATGCTCTGATACCAAGATGAATAAAACAGAAATAAGAAAAGGTATTTAATCAAGAAAAAGAGGTGTTGCAAGAGAAGTAGGAAGTCAGAGCAAAAAGAGAGAAGAAAGTAGAAGAGTGTGACGGAGAAGAGAGAATCATAGTCCTCTCCAGTCCCCTATTCACATCTTTTATTAGTTTCACGATAATGAATAATAAATAAATACCCTTAACAGGGCGGCTGGTAATAAACATAAAGATAAATGGTTGAGTTGATTCCATGAAATGAGAACATGCACAAGGAAAAGCTGTACTAAGACTTTGCCTTGGAGAACAGAGAAGAAATTTCCTAACTCTCAGTTATTCATTTTTCTGGACACCACAATAAGCTTGTTTGCCTTGGGGAACAGATGTTAAATTTCTTTAGCCTTCAGTTTTTTATTGCTCATTCTCCTGCTATTATTTCATTAATAAAGTTTTCCTTGATCTGTTATCAATCAAAAGTTGCTTCTAGAGATAACTTCATGAGGAAATAATCTATTGATATTACACCAGACAGGTCACCTCCTTGGAGATTATTTTATCAACAAGTACCTCATTAAGATTAAAATGCGGACAAGTCAACTACTTGGAGAAAAATCTTGAGTAATTTTTTCAACTTTTGTTAAGAACACAATTGGTTGAGCATGCACATGCAGCAGCAAGATCACACTTATTTATTGGGATTAAAATAGAATAAAAACTTACAACGGAACAAAAAATTACGAGGTTTTACAAGGGGAAAAAAACTTACACTGCATACACTACAAATTGTAGTTTCCAAAACATTTAATAGATTAATTAGCATTTCCCTTGGGAGTTTCCTAGCCATCTCAAAGGAAGCTTTTCCCACAGAATCAGAATGAAATCCTTTAACAAGACAAGGATGGTCACAAGCCTGACGAAGACGCAAAAGCATCAATAAAATATTTGCATAATTTTGGTTCACTGTGCCAGCATCAGCATATTCCTGCAAGGTAATATTAGTAGCTTCAAGAATAAGCATGAAAATATACATGTTTACAAACTTTAGAGTACAATGGAAAACACAACCTCAGTTCACAATAGATGACAACTTTGACCATGCAAGTGCACAAGAAATTTGTAATCTATGAAATGATGGCTAAACGATTATGCAAGGGAAACATATAAAATGTATACAATTTTCTTATAAAAGATTTCTCAATGTAACTTTTGTATCTGTAGAGAACACTAATGTGGACCCCACTAAGGTGGTCCCCACTRTTCGTATGTYAGCAATAAGTTATGATTARGATTAGTCTTTTATGMTAAGATTAGGATTAGTCTTTTATGATTTCAGCTTTATCTTATCTTGCCATGTAAGCAATTCAGTCCTTTTATAAGTATCTATGTATATAAATTTAAGAGTGGGACGGCTGTTTCAAAACAACCAACTCTCTCTTTTCTCAAAGTCTCTCTCGAGCTCTCTCTCTCTCTTCTCCCTCTTCTTTCCTTATTCTTTTCTTTTTTTTTTTTCTTCTCTTTTAAGTGTTTGTTCATTCTTGAACAACTACTTGGTATCAAAGCATTCGATCTAGGGTTTCTCATGTGGAATTAATTCAACCGACCACATGAGAATTATTTAGGGCTGAAAGATTTTTTTCATTCGACTGATTTTTGGAGATTACAAGAAGTCTTCAACAACTGTCCAAGGATTGGAAAGTGCTCCTTGTAATCAGGAAGAATCAGAGAAGAATTAAGTGAYCAAGGTTAGGTCTTTGATCAAGATTGGAGGTGCCAATCAGATTTTTTGGTTCTCTCATCAAGACTGAAGTTGGCGATCAAGAAGATTTTCTCAAAGATCAGTTCTGTTTTCAAAAGTTTCTGGGGTTGATCAGAATCAAGATCAGTTTTGAGCAAAACTGAAGTTGGCGATCAGAATTTCAGGAAGACTTTTGAATCAAGATCAGTTTTTCAGAAATTTCTGGGTAAGGTCTTATTCCTTCTTGAGGTCAGCAGCAAGGATAGCTTAATTTGTGAGGTACGGCTATATAGAATTTTTTTTCTTTTCTCTTCTAGGGTTTTGTAGAGAAGATGGGCCAAATGGCCCATAGGTTGTTTATTCTTTCTTGTTATTTATGTTTCTTTTGCTGAATTCATCCATAGGTAGTGTTGGYTGATTTGYGGCTGCATTGAGTTCACAAGCCACCCAATGACAGTGTAATTTTCTTGCATCCACTTCTCATAGGATGGATCATCTTCTGGAGTAGCCTTCTTACTCCCGGAAATGAATCCCCACTTTCCTCTACTACAAA